ACTTAACTTGGTAGATTATAGCCTTCATGGAAAACAAGGCCTTCCATGCTTTGTCTGTTTTGGTTTTAGTTTTTGAAACAGGATCGCACAATGTAGGCGTGGCTGGCCTCAACCTCTCAGAGATCCTCCTGCCCCTGCTACCCGAGTGCTGGGAGTGAAGGTGTGCACCACGGCCAGCCCTGCATTTTCTTATGACGCATGTTATGGTTTCAATCTGAAATGTCCCCCACGTTCACCTTTGGGCACCTTTTCCCTAGCTGGTGGTGGGTGCTTTCTGAGAAGATGGTGGAACTTTAGAAAGCGAGGCCTCCCTGGCAGAAGGCATGCACATCACAAGGTTATAGCCACCCCTAGTTCTGCCTACTCTCTGCTTCTGTCAACAGCCACTGCCACACACTCCTGCCACCACAGACTGAGCCACTCTACCATACCCTCCCTGCTGATAGACATGAGCCAAAATTAACTTTCCCTCCCTTGTTTCTGTCCGGTATTCATTCTGTCACCATAACAAGAAAGTAATTAGGGGCCAGTGAGTTGGCTCAGTAGATAAAGTTGCTTGCCACCAAGCCTAGTGACCTGAGTTTGATCCCCGGAACCCACACAGAGGAAGAAGAGAACTGACTCCCACAACTCGTCCTCTGACTCCATACATGTGCCATGACACACACAGACACCCACATACACATTTTTTAAAAGAAATGAATACTTGAAGGTATGTCCTGATTTTCAGACACTTACATTTCATTCTTGAGTTTCTATATGAAATTTTTCTTCAGTCTTCAATATACAGCCCAAATTGTCTAAAAGCATCAAATGAAATGAACCTGTACAAATATAGCAAAATGGTAACGCAGAACCATATAGGTGTTTACTGTAGTTGCCCCCATTTCTCTGTACACTTGGAGTTTTAAAACTTTATCCTGTGTATGGATGTCTGTATAAGTTTAGGTGCACAAGGGCCACAGCGAGCATGTGGAGGTCATAGTCAGTCTCACCTTCCACCATGGGCTACAGGGAAGGAACACAGGTGGTCAGATGGCAAATTCCTTTACCTACTGAGCCATCTCACCAGCCCAACTTCAAGTTTTTCATAGTTAAGTTGCTGGAGGTGAAGGCAGTCACTACAATGCCTCTGAACTTTTGAGTTGCAGCGGCCCCTTCACGAAGTCGCCAGTGTAAAGATATATACAAACCCATGATTGAAAGTTTATCATTAGTAGCTATATAAAAAAGATGTAAAGTATCATTTTCAATAAAGGAAATTTAGAAAATAAGCAAAAAGAATCTCTTGTATTCCTGTCTGGGTTAAAAATATTTTTAGTGTATTAAAAATAATGTATTCCTATAAATTTTCTATATAAACCTGGTTTTACAGGTTTATATATTAATATTTTATAACCATTGTAAAAATTGTGACTGTCTAACCTGTACAGCATCCCACTGTATGTGCAGCCCACTAGAAGGCATTCTTTTAAAAACATGGATCATGCCTTTAGTCCCAGCACTTGGAAGGCAGTTGTAGGCAAATCTCTGTGATTTTGAGGCCAGCCTGGTCTACATACCAAATTCCAGGCCAGCTGGAGCTACAGGGGGAACCTGTCTCAAAAGATAAAAGAGATGTGGGGAGAGAGAGAGCTGGGGACCCATCTCCTAGGAGCCAAGGAATCTGAGTTTAAAGATTTGTGTGGTGTGTCTGTGTGTCTATCCATCTGTCTGTGCACATGCATGTGATGCCCAGAAGACGAGTCCAGAAGACGTCAAATCCCCTGTAGATACAGTTACAGATGGTTGTGAGCCCTGTGTGGGTGCTGGGAACCAAACTCTGATCCTCTGCAAAAGCAGCCAGTGCTCTTAACTGCTGAGCCATCCCTCTAGCTCTGGAATCTGAATTTTTGGAAAGGTATCCTATAATTCTAATATTTTTTCTTTTTTAATGTTTATGATTTTTTTATTTTATGTGTATCAGTGTATTGCGAGCATGCGAGTACACCCGTGTCATCCAATGCCTGCAGAGGACAGAAGAGGGAGTTGGATCCCCTGGAACTGGAGTTACAGACAGTTCATTGCCACCATGTGGGTCCTGGGATTCAAACCCAGGTATTCTGTAAGAACAGCCAGTGCTCTTAACCGCTGAGCCACCTCCCCAGCCCCTTTTTCTTTGTTTTTTGAGACAGGACACCACTATGTGGCCCAGGATAGCCTCAAACTCTTAGTTCTCCTACCCCAGCCTTCCCAGTGCTGGGACTACAGGAGTGCATCAAGTCACTGTGATCAATTTAATCTACCAGGTAAATCACCAGATACTTCATCTGCTTAGTTCAGTGCTGTCAAATATTGTTTCCAGCATTTTCCCATTATAAACAACAATCACAAACATTCTAATAGGTATCTCTCTTCACATAAATATTTTCTGAGCATAATAAAGGGGTTTGTTTGCTTTTTAAAAAGTCAAACTGGGCATAATGGTGCACACATTTAATCCCAGCATTTGAGAGGCAGAGGTAGGTAGACCTCTGTGAGATTGAGGCTAGCCTGGTCTACACAGTGAGTTCCAGGCCAGCTAGGGCTACAGGGGGACCCTGTCTCAAAAAATAATAACCTAAAAAAATTTTTAAAGTCCAGGTTTTCGTGAGCCGATAACTGAATTGCAACCCTGGAGTGCCCACTACCCTGCCATTGTCTGGGAGTTGTAGGGAAGACTGGCAAGATTCATTAAATCTCCTAATAACCCTAAAAAATAAATTTCAAGAGGTTGGCCTTCACCTCTATCCCTATAATAAAAGAATTCGCTTACTAAAAGTGACTTTTGAGTCTAGAGCCCAGAAAATGGCCCCTGTGTTTTCTGGGTGTTTTTGTTTTTAGGGGAGGGTGTTGTTTTGTTTTTCTCTTTTGCAGTACTGGAGATCAAACCTAGGACCTCAAGATACTAGATAAGCGTTCAAGCACTGAGTTATACCCCTAGCTCACTGTTGTCTTGGGGAAGCATAGTTCAGTGGCACACTACATACGTTAGGCCCTGGATTTGATCCCCCACATCATACACACACACGCATGCGCGCACACACACACACACACAATTCATGTATGTCTAATAACATAGTAACTGTAGATAATATTGATGTATACTTGAAAAAATTCCTGAAATTTTAAATGTCTGACAACAAACACAATTATCTTAGGGCATTGGGTTATATTAGCTTAATTTAGCCATTTCATAATGTGTGCATTTCAAAATACCATATTATATATCATAAGTATACACAATTCTTGTCAATTGAAAATGGAAAATAAAAAGCAAAGTTCACATTGACTAGTTCACACATTATCAATCCCCAAGGGCACTTTCTCAAATTCATTCCTGGAGATTCTTGACTAGTTACAGGTCTCTGCAAAAATGCAGCACATTTTGTCCATGCTGTTGCTGCCTCTGAATTTCAATGTCTGTCTCTCTGTCGCTCACTCTCTCAATTTCTCTCTCACTCACTCTTGCTCTCGTTCGTTCTCTCATTCTCTCTCTCTCTCTCTCTGTCTCTCTCTCTCTCTCGTTCTCACTTCTCACTCTCGTATTGCAATGTAGTCCAGGTTGGCCTCAAACTCCAATTCAGGTGTGTTAGCATGTCCAGTATTGCTTAAGATAAAATGGCACATAATTATGACCCAAAGAAATCCTAAACCTTATGTTTCTCAAACCAGGATGTGTGAATGTATGCCAAAGTTCTCTGAGAATTGTGTTCCCCTCTCCAAAAGGAGTTTGTACTCAATATTTAAAACCACCGACTAAAGAGTTGGGTACAGGGGCCATAACATTACTCTCTCTCAACCAGCAAGATAGACCCAGCACTCAGCAACAATTAAGGGCAGCACACAGGAAACCTGAGAGGTGTGAGCCAGAACTTAGAGCAAGTTTAGACCTTTCACCATGGCAGTAAGAATGGTGGTGTCTTTTATCCTAATAGAAACTAATATTCTGAACCTCAAAAACGTTTTCTAAGTTGGGTGTGGTAAAACAGGCCTATTATCTTACTTTTCCAGAGTCTGAAGCAAGAGGATTACAAATTCTAGACCATCCCTGGTTACTCTGCAAGTTCAAATAGAGCCCGCCCTATTAGCTCCCCTTGTCTCCTGGGTGAAAATAAACTTTAAAAGGCAAGCTTTCCTAAGAACTAAAACAGAAATTCCTCAAAGAAAGCGCAGGTTAACGCCATTGAATGCGGACTGCTTTCTTGGATGTGACTTCCAAAAACGCAACCCAATATTAATGGGCAAGTGACCTAAAAAGATTTCTCCACACAATACAGAAGGAAGGCCAACTATCAAATGACATTTGATCAATCAACCTGCAATGCTGAAACACTAGAAAGTCAACAAGGATGTGGAAATGTTATCTTTGTGCAGTGCTGACAGGAACATAAAATAAGGTGCCGCTATGGAAGTGGACAGTTCCTCAAAAAATTGGAATTACCGTAGGACCCCACAATTTTGCTGGGTGTGTGCTCACAGCTGGGGGGGGGGGAAAGGCAAGCTTTCTGGGATCATTAAGGCCAGCCAAACAACCCTCTTTTTACTCTTAGGTAAATGGCCCTTGAAAGGAACAGCGAACGCCCAGCCTCCAGTCAGTCTCACTGCCTCAGGCTGATCTTCGTAAAACTGTGGTTAGTGATCTTAGGACTCAGAGGAGTGAACAGAGGAGTGATCTTAGGAGACAGAGGCAGGTAGAGCGCCTCTGGTTCAAGGCCAGCCTGGTCTACCTAGTGAGTACTAGCCCAAACTTGGCTTTCTAGTATGACATTGTCTCTAAAAAAAAAGAAAAGAAAAAAAAAAACTCTCAAAGACTGGTCAGTCATCGCCACCCAGTGGCTACCGCCGGGCCCCACCTCCGTCCTCCCTGTTCCCCAACCTCCCTCGTGTCCTCTCCAAGCCGGCTCGCCTCGCTCTACTTCATAAACCCTGACCCCGTCCCGTGCCGAGCTGACCCCAATGCGCATGCGCCTCCAGAGGCCTACGCGCGTCAGTGACGTCAGGCGAAGCGCCACAGCTGAGCACTGAAGGCCTCTGACGCCCACTAGTCTGAGTGCAGGGCAAGGAATACGAGGTACACTGACAGCGGAAACATAAAGGAGAAAGACATCTGGTGGCTGAGCAACGTTCGGGAAGTGCCCTAACTGACTGAGTGAAGCCTGAGGGAGGCGCCATCAGAGCGCGCTGGAAGGGGCCCGACAATGAAGGGTAAGTCGGGTTGAGGGACACGAAATTGGGCCGGGTTGAAGATGTAGTTTGTGAAGTGTCGCAGGGACACCTGTCGTAACAGAGTCCCAAGAGGACCGTCAGGGCATTGACCCAGGGTATGTAAAAGAAACGGAGGGGCTGGAGAGATGACGTGACAGTTAATGAGTATTTGACTACTTAGAGGACCCAGGTTCGATTCCCAGCAGCCACATGGCGGCTAACAACTGTCCATAACTCCAGTTCCAGGGAATTCGCAGGCATTGCACGACACTGTTGCACTTACATATATGCAGGCAGTATACTCGTACACATAAAATAAAAATAATATATAAAGTAGTTTTAAAAAGAAAACAAACATGCCCAGGGTGCAGGTTGGCTGGACTCTGTCTAGGAGTAGATGTCAGGGCGGATTGTAGGTGTCCCCCAGCTCAGTGCAGCCGGCCCTGCCCACTGACTGACTGGATAACTGTAGTCAAGGTCCTGCTCCCCTTGCCCCACCTCGCTTTCTACCCTTGCGGCCTAGGAGTTATCGCAGACCTAAGGCTTAGGGATTTTAGCAGAGAAGAGTTGTGCCAAGGGAAGCAAGCATAGGCAGGAAATGTGGACGTGGTAAAGATTAGTCCCCTTTACCAGAAAATGGACTGAAGAGATGGCTCAGCGGTAAGAGCACTGCAGAGAACCCACCCAGGTTGGATTCCCAGCACCCACTTGGTGACTAACTATCGGTAACTCTAGTTCCAGGAGATCCAACACTCTCTTCTGGTCTCTGTGCACCGTGGCACACTTACATACAGGCAAAACACTCATAACAGATTTAATAAATTTTTAAAAGATTGGGCCTCTGTTTGCTGGTTTCCACCCCTGCCATCTTCCTATCACATATATCAAGTGCCTCAGTATATTTCAACTTTGCTATATGCCCACCTAGGAATAACTACTGTGAAGAACTGCTTAGAAAGCATAGCAAGATAAAAATACATGTATGTATATGTGTTATATGTGAGTGTGTATATATGTAGTCTTAAATCGACCACTTGGCAAATAATGAGTGTTCAAAAGTGATTACATGTGTGTTCTTAGAGAAAGACTTCCAGCTCTGATGCTTGCAAATGTACCCATGCACAAGAGAACAAAAGTAATTCTTTTTAAAAATTATTTAATAACCACATAATTAGAAGAAGCGTTTCATTACAACAGCATTGACATCTTCAATAAAATTTCCAGAGCAAAGATGCATCTCTTTCAAAATTGGCTGTAAATTTTTAGGTTTACAGTTGATTTAATACAGTTATACAATATTGTAACTCTGTATAAACCCTATGAGACATAAAATTAAGTGAAGTTTTAACCTTTAAAAAGATCTCCATTTCATTATTAAAATACATAGGTTCATACAGAAAATTTCATTTTTAATGCAATTGACACTAAGATGTTTGCACATGCATTTGTAATCTCTATATATCTGATTATTACTAGTCACAGTCGGTTATTTTCTCAGCTCCTTGGCATCTGAGCATGGATAGAAAATCATCAGGTAGATTTCAATAGTAATGTTTTTCACAGCTACTAATTATTAAGGAGCAAATTTTCATGCTTTGAAGAATTATTTTCTTTTAACTTGATAACCACATAATTAGAAGAAGCATTTCATTACAGCTTTAACATATTCGGTAACACACTTCAGAGCAAAGATACATCTCTTTCAAAAGTGGCTGTAAATTTTTAGATTCACAGTTGAATTAATACAGTTATACAATATTGAACTCTATAAACCCTGTAAGATATAAAATTGAATGAGTTTTTACCCTTTAAAGATGATCTCTTTTTTGTTTTAAAATAGGCTGTTTCCTACATTTTTAAATATTTTTTAGAAGAATATTATTACAACTCAATATGCTCAATAACAGTTTCCAGAGCAAACATGCAGCTCTTTCAAAAGTGGCTATAAAATTTTTAGGTTTGCTGTTGAATTAATACAGTTATACAATATTGAACTCAGTATAAGCCCTGTAAGACATAAAATTGAATGAGTTTTTAACCTTTAAAAAAGATCTCCATTTCATTTTAAAATATACTGTTTCTTACAGAAAGACTCATTGTTTTTGCTACTAACACTGAGATGTTGGTGCATGCATCTCTAATCTGTACGTATCTGATTATTACTAGTCATAATTGGTTGCACTCAGATCCTTGGCACCTGTGTATGTCTATAATGTCATCGGGTAGATTTCAATGGTAATGTTTATCACCTCTCCTAATTAACATGATGCAAATTTTTGCTTCCTCCTCAAATATAATAC